TAAGAAAATACCTGATTCGGGAGGATGAGAGAAGTCACTGCAGTCTGCAGAGGAGGCGGAGGCTGGAGAAAATTCCAAATCGCATTAATTAAAGATTTCTTTTTTCTCAACCAACACAGAAAAACTCAAGGGAGAAACAAGAAAAGAAAAGTATTTTCTAATTTCTACCTTCTGAAGTTCTGCTACGTACGATTGCGGAGGCTGCGAAGTTCTGGGGTGGAAGTTCTGAACGGCGGTTGTTGAGCGGAGGCTGCGAAGATGCCGGAGTTGAGGTGCAACTGCGAACGAGGTTTCAGGCTGCGAACAGTGGTCAGTGGAGGCTGTGGAGCTGTAGAGGCGGAGCAGGAGCAGAGGAGAGGATGACTCGTGTTGTGGTGAATTGAGATTTGTGAACGAGGTTTAAATCTTTGGAATTGGGCTCAAAGTACTGGGCTTTTTCTCTTGGGCTGGGATGGTGGGACTGGGAGTCTGGGACAGCCTATAACTAAAAAAAAAAAAAATTAGCCAAAACAATTTTTTGAGCCCAGAAGTTCAGGATGGGCCTATGCCCATCCTGGCCCTAAGGTGGCTCCGCCCAGACAGCGTCCCAACTCCCAGCCACTGGTGAATTCAATTGGTTTCCAAAATTTTCCCCAAACCGGCAACACAGGAACATGCGGCAGGCCAACAGCAACCGACAAAGGCAACATCAATAACAATTAACTTGGTTCCTAACTTCCTATTTTCCCCCAAAGAACAGGCAACATCAAATCAGGCATAGCAGAAGTCGGACAACAAATAACTTATTCCCATTTGGAAATCGAAGAAATGATAGAAAACTCACCTACAGTGCGTGGCGTGGATGCAGGGGCCGTCGGACCGGGGAGTGCGAGGTGCGTGGACGGACAAGACGGTGGATGCAGCAGCACAATAGTCAGCGACTCAGTAGAGCTTCTTATTTCTCAATTCTCTGTTGATGCAGCCGCTTGCAGGGCTGGGAGTTTGCAGGGCAGCAGCTTCTCGTTTTGTAGTGGATATGGCTGGGAGTTTGCAAGGCTTTTATCATTCATTTCGGGCCAAAGAATTGGCCCGCTTATTTTTTTATTTATTTTTTAGTATTGGGTCACTCAAAAAAATGGGGCGGCCCAAAGCCCAGTGCAGGCATCTGCCTGCACTGGGCCAAGGTGGGTCCGCCCCTGTGACTGATTCCATTCTGGTTTTCAATTGTTCATAGATTCTAGCCACATTTTTTCCCTCTTTCGCCTCTTCTTTCTCGGTTCACCCTAGCAGCGGCTCAAAACTTTCTTCATCCTACTGCGATTTGTTGCTCTTCCTCGTGTTATTGTTTTCCTTTCTTCGGGATCCGGCTTCCTTAGGTAGCGTCATCCTTTCCCCCCGATACCATATTTCCCTTTCCCTTCTCCTCCAAGAGCCGAAGATGAGGGCGATTCTGGCACCTCCACCCTTGCCCACAGGACCCTTCACAGCTGCTTTCCCCCATCACCTCCTCCAGCCGAGGTTTCCTTTCGAGCCTTGTCCACAAAGGGTACGTTTTTAGCTTTTCACACGCCTCTTTGATCTCTTTCCATTCAAGAATAGATGAAAATCTTCTTATGTTCTCCCGTTTCACGAATTTTTGGATTTCTCACCGTCTGATTTTACCATTCGATCGATTTCTTTTGTTGAAAAGTACTGATAACTGAGGCTTTTTTTAGGTTCTGTTTTGTAGGGTTTCGAGAAATCAATTGATTTCGAGAGGCAAAGTATCGATTTTGTGTGTGGATTCGGAGGATTCCGCTTTACTATGAGTGGATTTCCCGAATTCGAGTAGTCCAACATGCACAGAACCTGATGTGGAAACTGGTGAATCTTTTGGGGCTCAGGCTATTATTGCGAATCGTTTTGCTTATGGTTAGTAATTGTAATGTTGCTGTATTTAAATACTAAAATTTGATTAGGTTTAATTTTTTAATAAAACTGAGCAGAACTTATGGCTAAGAACTTGAGAAGGAGATTTGAATGGCAAGCTTTGGTATTTGCATTATATTATTATTGAGTAAATTTAATCAATCATCGTCGAACTTTAAAACTGTTACTACTTACTCACTTACCTTTAATGCGTTACTCAATACTCATCTTTTCATATAATTACTCATCCATCATCCGTTAACTGACATTTTCAAATTGTGGATGAAAAATCGCAGGTGGCAAATGACAATCCTACGTGGCATGCGAACGGCGATAACCATGTCCATGTCCCCAAAAATGCTCCCACCAAACACTCTTCTCTTCCTCAAATCAAAATCCCAAAATTAGAATCCCCAATTGGAAGCCCTAATTTCAAACCCCCAACCAGAAATTTCAATTAACAGGACAATCTCCATCGGAAACTAACTTTCTCTCTAAATCTGAGTTCGTATGGTTTAGGATTGGTGATGGAAGGATTGACCTCGACTGGATTCTAGAGTTGGGAATCTGGATTTTTATTTTTAGGATTTTGATTTGTAGACTTCTAGCAAGAAGTTAAATGGCTAGCAGTAGGGTCGCCCACGCTACTTTGAAAGGACCGAATGCGGTGAAGGAGATAGTTATTGGAATCGTGCTTGGTTGTGCAGCAGGTAGCGTATGGACGATGCATCACTGGAACGAGCAGAGAAAAGTTCGGGCATTTATGACTTGTTGGATAAAGGCGAGATCACTGTGGTTGCTGCAGATGAATAAATATTCCACAGCTGTTCCACCTCGCCTAACCCTCTCCTTAACTCTCTGCATATCTGTATCTATATACTATATAGACCTGTGAGAAGCTTAGAGGTCAAATTTTCATGGCGGAATTTCGGGCAAGCATGCTTAACAAGAACACAGTTGATCCCAGAAATGGCTACTGCCCACAGACCAAGATTTACCACAGCCTCCGCTGTCCATTATCCCATACACTCTCTCCCTCCTCAATTCACCACCACCTCCGCCGCTCTCTCATCCACCCCTTTCCTCATCGATGCCGCCACTGGCCATCGCCTCACATACATCGCCTCCCTTGAACAAATCCACTCTATCTCTCTGTTACTGCATTTTGCTATCTTGTTGCTGCAATTGGTTTGCAGAGTTTTTGGAGCATGTCACTTGCAATTGCTGACATATACATATATGGGTAGTTTTGAGAGTTGGGAATGAATAAATCATCTTCAAAGTGCAAGATATTTTCTTGTTCTGGGCTGATTTTGGCAGTCTTGAGAGTTGGGAATTATTGTTTGTGAATTAGAAGTTATTTATTTTGTAGCTTTTGATTCCCAGAATGCTGATTTCAGAATGCTGGTACTTATTCACAAATACACCAGAATGCTGATTTTGTTGCATTTCATCCCTTCTGATTATCATTCATCACTATCAGTAACATCAGGTGCATCAGCTTGAAGTACCACAAAAACTATATGAATAATAACCGTTAATTAAAAAATCATATGAATAATAAACTGATGGAATATAACCATTCATTCACAAAACATTCATCAAAAAAAGACATTCCTTCAACTGTTCCTTGCTCCACTCTTCCTTGTCCTTGGATGTGCAAATGGTTCTGATCAGTATGCAACTCCTCGGAAGATGCATAATATGGATCATACAATTCTGTGCCATCATCTTCACCAGCTGCTTGAAATTCAGGGTCCGCATTAAGACCAACCCCAACTCTTTCCGGTGCATTTCGGTGGTAACGAAAACCGCCATTGTCCACGTCATCATCCAGAGTTATTTAACTGGCACTCAGGAGGCACCAATTCTTCATCCTCATTGTTCGTAACTGGAATGCTAAAAACTAAAGTTAAGGTTTGCTACATACATATTCATCTTTAGACTATTCTTCTTTCATGTTCAGAAAAAATCAGTTGATGGCGGAAAAGGAGGCTCCACAGAAAAAGTTGACAAAGGGCAAAGTTGTTCCTGCAACAAGAAAAGCTTCTCGATTAGAGAGCAGCACCACATCTGGAGCATCGTGTGTAAAACCAGAGCTAACCTTGCC